CAAATGGGAAATAGCTAGATTTAAGAGAGGGGAGGCTGATGTAGACGGAGGGGGATGACAGAATGATGAAGCAATATTTGCGGAGAGAAAGAGAGTCTCATGCTGCTCCCAGTAATTGAAAGGTACCAGGACTGATTTAGGGAGGAGCTTTGTTGGGTTGGTGGGTGTGATGAGGGAGGTGGAGGAGGAGGAGGAGGTGGTGGTGGTGGTGGTGGTGGGGCGCTGCATTGCAGAGAAGAAGGAGCAGCCAAGCCCCCTGCAGTGCTCTGCTCCGCTACCTCCAGAGTTGTCATCAGCTCAACGCGGCGCAAACGACCCTCTGCGGCCCATAATAAGCAGTGAGGCAGCAGAAAATGTTACGGCTCGGTCCGTACCAGGTAATTACTGTACGTGTCTGTGTTTTATTGGCATCAATAGAACATAATAAATGAGGAGGGTGGAAACGCTCCAAGATGTACGAGGATTTACAAGTTTTTATCTGCCGGCTAAGTGACTATTTTACTGTCTCTCTCTGTGTATTATTTAAGGGTGAAAGGTGTCAAGATGAAACCTCCGTCGCCTCCGTCGGCCTTTACTGCAGTGCTCCGGCCTCTGCCGTGAGCTTTTACAACTGTTTCCTTCTTTAGAGCCACTTAAAAAATAACAACAATCCCTCCCCCTCTCTCTCTCTGTCCATCCAGCTCTCTCACTCTTTTTTAAATATTCATCCTTCCACTAATACAGTTGGTTACTACACAAATAGATGGGCCTCGGTGACTAACCACAACCACACACACGTCATAAAGACACATCTAATCCTAACTCCAAACTGAATCTGTCTCCCTGGGTGAAACGTCCCCCGCCAGGACAAAGATAATATGTCCTCAAACAATACTGCAGCTACAACGCCGCCGCCGTACGCCGCTGCCCCTTCGTCAAACCCGCGCCTGTTTTGTTTTTTTTTTCCAGGGGCGCCGACATGCGATACCTTTGCCCTGTCAATCCTTCTCGCATTACTGCCTCCGCAGTGCTGCTTCATTTACACGTGAAATATTCATGTTCCTAATTTACCCTACGGGGTGCTCAGGTGCCCCCCCTCGCCCACTGGAGAGAGGGGACGAGAGGCCTTTTCCACAGAACCCCTCTGTCCCCGGCGCGGACACGCTCTGTTCCACTTGTGATTGGTTGGCATTTTGATAGGATGAGGCTCATTGGGCATCTGGCAGCATAGCTTTACAAGCGGCCTCGTTCCACCTGGCACTGGCTTGTCTTCACGGTAATTGCGTAAGGAAGAAAAACTTTGCCCATCAAAGCGAGTAAAAACTTTTTTAAAATTTAAAACGAGGATTATATTATTCTTTTATTTTATTATGTGATGCCAGATGCGGCCAGCTCAGTGGTTCTCAAACTGTGGTACGCGTACCACCGGTGGTACGCCAGCGCTCTCTAGTGGTACGTGGGGGGTCCGTACCAGGTAATTACTGTACGTGTCTGTGTTTTATTGGCATCAATAGAACATAATAAATGAGGAGGATGGAAACGCTCCAAGATGTACGAGGATTTACAAGTTTTTATCTGCCGGCTAAGTGACTATTTTACTGTCTCTCTCTGTGTATTATTTAAGGGTGAAAGGTGTCAAGATGAAACCTCCGTCGCCTCCGTCGGCCTTTACTGCAGTGCTACGGCCTCTGCCGTGAGCTTTTACAACTGTTTCCTTCTTTAGAGCCACTTAAAAAATAACAACAATCCCTCCCCCTCTCTCTCTCTGTCCATCCAGCTCTCTCACTCTTTTTTAAATATTCATCCTTCCACTAATACAGTTGGTTACTACACAAATAGATGGGCCTCGGTGACTAACCACAACCACACACACGTCATAAAGACACATCTAATCCTAACTCCAAACTGAATCTGTCTCCCTGGGTGAAACGTCCCCCGCCAGGACAAAGATAATATGTCCTCAAACAATACTGCAGCTACAACGCCGCCGCCGTACGCCGCTGCCCCTTCGTCAAACCCGCGCCTGTTTTGTTTTTTTTTTCCAGGGGCGCCGACATGCGATACCTTTGCCCTGTCAATCCTTCTCGCATTACTGCCTCCGCAGTGCTGCTTCATTTACACGTGAAATATTCATGTTCCTAATTTAACCTACAGGGTGCTCAGGTGTCCCCCCTCGCCCACTGGAGAGAGGGGACGAGAGGCCTTTTCCACAGAACCCCTCTGTCCCCGGCGCGGACACGCTCTGTTCCACTTGTGATTGGTTGGCATTTTGATAGGATGAGGCTCATTGGGCATCTGGCAGCATAGCTTTACAAGCGGCCTCGTTCCACCTGGCACTGGCTTGTCTTCACGGTAATTGCGTAAGGAAGAAAAACTTTGCCCATCAAAGCGAGTAAAAACTTTTTTAAAATTTAAAACGAGGATTATATTATTCTTTTATTTTATTATGTGATGCCAGATGCGGCCAGCTCAGTGGTTCTCAAACTGTGGTACGCGTACCACCGGTGGTACGCCAGCGCTCTCTAGTGGTACGTGGGGAAAATTCACATTGACATTTTCAATTGAATAAATCTGAAACGTACCATGCACAATTAATACAACATTTAAACATGAACATTTATGAACATCTCCCCTGTGTGGTGGAAGCTAATAGGCTGCTATATTCTAACGTTGGTCATCATGGTGGTACTTTTTAGGGTCGTCTCGCATCGTGTTTCCCAGGAGTTTACGAACATTGTCTATTGACTTGGTTTGCGAAGGTTTGTGATGCTTTAACATATGGGTCCCCTGAAAAAAAGTTTGGGAAACACTGAGCTAAATAACTGTTTCAAACCAGCTACTGTTAGAAAGTGAATGTAAATTACCTGAGTTTAAGCCTGAAATTCTGATTCTGACAGGCAGGCTGTCAGACAATGTGACTAGTGAAAAGTGTGAGGCTTTCTGTGGTGACAGACACTCACTTAAGAACAAAATTGGGCAAAAAGGAAAATGATTAAAAAATATAGAACTATTAAAATTATTTTAACGTCATTCTCCAGCACTATAAAAAACGACTTCACAGATTTATTCGTGCTTCAGTCCCAGACTCTTAACTGTCAATCAGCTCTACGGCTCTTCTTATTGGCTTATCTAGTGCTGCAGGGAGGGGCCAGTGGAAACTGTTCTGATTAACCTGTCTGCTTTTTGTAAAATATACAACACTGCAGCCACCATCAGGGCAGTTCTGCTCCTCCTGTTGATTCATGGTAGCTCAGCCACATTTTTATCTCATCCGTGCAGGGGAGACTCGTTCCGGAGAAACCGAACGGCGTAGAAGGTCAAACGTATCTGCGGAGATTATGCGAAAAATGCCAAGAATGTTTATTGCCTTGTTCCTACTCTAAGCAGGAGAAGAAAAAAAAAAAGTGAGGTGCGTTTGTCTCGCTCCAGGACGAGGATAGTTCTTTTATGACTTATGTTACCTCGTGTGTGTAGGCTGGCTGAGAGATGCCTCAGTCTATCTTTGGGCAAATTACCCTCCATATATAGTAAAGGAGTCGCTCTTCCTGTTTGACATTTTGAACATTTAGGTAGTGAGTGTTGTCAGAGGCCCCTGCTGAATCCGTCATGCTCGTCTTTTGAGTGTCGTGGCCTGGTTTGCCTTACTAGGACAAGCTAACGCAGGCACAAACGGGAGGGTTTATTCCAACCCTCCCCAACCCCCCATCATCATCATCCCGGCTACAGCATGCTGCTGTTGCCTAGCAACCGTCTGTGTCTTAAGAGAGGAGAGAGCCGTCATGGATGTGTACGAATATCCGTGGCTCAGAGTGAGAGCAAACACTCTGTGCTTGCCTCTCCTTCCCCAGCGAGCAGCTCACTCTCCCTGCAGCCTCCCTGCCACGTAATGGGCCTGAATACACACACACACACACACACACACACACATATACACACACACTGAACCTTCTCCTCTGCTCAACATCAGCCAGTGACAGTGCACATCAAGAGCTGGGATTTACAATCATTTATTATTGACACTTTCAAAATTATGGTCAGTAAACAAAGCGTAGGCTTGTTACATTGCCCTTTTATAGATTGTTGTTGTTGTTGTTGTTTTTTTTCTTTCTTAAAGTCAAACATAAAATAACACAAGCCAAAATAAAGTTCATGGTCTTTATTTGAAAAAAAAAAAAAGACTAGCATGTACAACTTGGAATGAATGTAAACTGAACTCAGATGAAGAGCTGCAAAGACTGGTGCGCTGACACTCCTAACAGCATGCGCTGCAAACACAGTACACCCTTCACTATGCCTTTGTCTGAGTAGAGAAACAGAAGAAAGAAAAAGGAAAGTGAAGGCCAGTGATTCTCTCTTGCAAGAAAAAAAAAAAGACAGACACTCCATCTCTGCCAAAAAAAAAGAAAAAAGGAAAGCTCGCCGTAAGACTCTTTTTAAGTTCCCCTTTTTTAAAAAAGGGCAGGACGCACAACAACTAAGATGGCCATCCAAATAACAAAACAAAAACACGCCAAACATTTGAAATGTAATTTTTTTTTTGTACATTGTATTTTTCTCTTTTTTTTTCTAGCATACAATTAAGTCCCATTCCACTTAAATTTAGAACCTGGTCACATCTTTCACTTCTTCAACAGGGTTCCTCTCCAAATACAAAATAAAAAAGAAAAAAACAAAAAACGGTACCAAACCAACAAGAGGACAGCTTATAGTGGAATCAGCACGCTCTGGTAGTCTGGAGGCGGGTGGGGAGGGACATGGAGGTTAGTGCTCCGGTCTCAAGCTGCATGCATGGAAAACAGAAAACAGAGAGGGAAAGAAGAGACGGCCAACCCAGACATTTACCACTTGCAAATGGAGCTGGACGGAGTTGGCCAGATGCTTTTGCTTTAGTCTGAAGGTAGTAGATACAGGGCGTGTTTGTTTTATTTTTTTAACGTTATTGTTACTTGTTAAGTACTGATGCTAAACTGATTTCCAGGGGGGAAGGGACAGGATCACTAACCATCATTTTCATGCAGTTATTTTTTGTATATTTTTAATATTTTTTTTTTCCTGTATGGACAGAAGGATAGATTAATTCAACATTCAATTATTTTCTATACAGAAACAGTATGAATAAATGAACATTTTTTTAAGAGGTAAGTAAAACATTTTGACTTTTTTTTTTTTATCCTTTTTTGTGTTTTTTTTCTCCTAAGAGGGGACAGGATGGGGCGGACAAGCTTCACTTTGCAGTCATCATCTGTACAAACTCTGCAGTGAGAGAGAGAGAGAGAGAGAGAGGGAAAGGGAGGGAGAGAGAGGACAAAAGTCAATAAGGACATCAGTTTTACAGATTTGGCACACCATCCCGCAGGTGCAGCAATCACATTTTTATTTTTTCTGTCAGCTCAGGCCGGTCCTAAACCCTCTCGACTGCTGTTAGCTTCCCAAACAGATTTTACATGAATCCCATCGAAACCAATTGATTAAACCCATTTCACATTGTGATGATATGCATTCCCCCTCCCTCCACACATGCACAAAAACATAAAAAAGTGATCAATCGTCAAGGCATCCGTGGCCTGCAGAGTCACACGCTCTCTGTGGTTCAGTGGGAGTGTATATGTAGGCCACTTCTCAGCCAAGTCGTATGGATATTATATCAACTGGCTCAGTCTGTGGTGCAGGGCACCAGGGGACGGAGAGTGGAGAGATGGAGGATTGGCACACAGAAAGATGACTTTCTCCCAACATAAATCCCTAGAGAGTGGAGAGATGGAGAGATGACTTTCTCCCAACATAAATCCCTTACTTTATCACTAAAAATAATTCAAATCCATTGAATAAAATACGTGTCACTTCTTCCCGAATGAACGCCGTTACCTTCATAGTTGACTTGTCCGTCTCCATCGATGTCTGCTTCTCTGATCATCTCGTCCACCTCCTCATCTGTTAGCTTCTCTCCCAGGTTCGTCATGACGTGACGGAGCTCTGCAGCGCTGATGTAGCCATTTCCGTCCTGGAAACAAGCGACACGGGATCAAATGTGTAGAAAACAGGCAAAAATATCCCCAAAGGTTGAAAACTGCAGAGGCCAAAAATTCCCACCAGATCAATTAATGAGCAGATATAGAAGCAGGTGTTAAGAGGTCGGAAACTAATGCAGTTTTTTTTTTTTTTTAACCCACATTGTTCTACTTTTAGCCTTTCAAAATACTGACAGACAACAGTACCACTGCAACTTTTTTTTTTTTACAAACATTTACCTTGTAAAATACCCTGAAAGCCTCACGAATCTCCTCCTCGCTGTCAGTGTCCTTCATTTTCCTGGCCATCATGGTCAAAAACTCTGGGAAGTCGATGGTTCCATTTCCTACAAATAGAGATAGCAATAACCATCAATACTGGACTAGCACAGTTCTGCTTCCTCCCTTCCTTCTTGCAGCATTTTTCTGACGTTTCTAGTTACCTTATTTACCTGGGCTGCCTAGTTGAGTTGTGATTGGGCGACATTTGGTTAGATTGGTTTGGACACTGATTCAGGAAAAGACTGCCCCAGGTGGTTACTTTTGGTACGCGCACTGAAGACTCAGTTGGCTCCTGGCGACTCGTCCGTAATGTAGATTTATAGTTAACACAACAGATGGCCTTTCAAGAAGCCTACATAAATCTGAGGCTCATCTCTCCTTGTGTCCCAGTCAGTCATACTTGTGCTAAATGTTCAGTGATAAGAGCGTCCGTCCAGATGTCTCATTTGCTTTTGTTTTTTTATGCACAGTTCTTTTTTTTTTTTTCCTTCCTCTGATCAAATGATGCATTTGCAAGTCATGCCAGGACTCACAATTATTTGGGGAATTGAGTCATGGGTGGCAGCGCTGTATCCGGTGTTGCTAACTGCCGGTGACACATGCATAAGTGCAGTACGGTCGATATCCATGCGGCTGTTGTCAAGACAGGATTACCAGGGGATCAGACCCTCTTGACAGGGGAGGAACCTACGGGGAGCTCAGCGGCTCTCCGATTGCAATTACGGAGATGGAAGTGGAATGGTAGGAGGCAGCGCTAATGGGGTCGACTTTTGGGTTTACTAAGATAATGCACGGATCTCCTGGCACTGAATAGTCTGATCTGTTGGTAAAATGTGTATATGTCTGTGTGTGTGATCCTCCAGTGATGCAGGCTAACAAAACAAGCCGGTCATCCAGCACTGAAGCAGCCAGAGAGACTGAGCTGGGGGGCAGGGAACGTCGCTTTCTTTCTAAAATAAAATATAAAATATTTCCTGATTACATCTGATTGCAAGCTACTGTAGTGGAACTTAAAAGATGGGAGAGAAGAGGGAAGGCTGGCAGGAAGGAAGAGAGAGAGAGAGAGAGAGAACGGTGGGGGGGAAAGAGAGAGAAAACAGAGAGGGAGTGAGTGGGTGTCAGAGAGATGGAGATGTGAAGAGGAGAGAATATAAGGAGAGAACAGTGAGAGTGGGAGATGGTGCGATTACACAAAAGAGGCGATGACGCAAACTACGGGGAAAACTGAGGACTTGAAAGACACGTTTTTGCGTCGTAAATTTAACTTGCACACCTGTGATAACATGTTTATTTCATACACACACTCTCTGTCCTGATATAAGTCTAGTTGACACTTTTTTTCTTCACTGCATATGGTCTCCTGAGGCCAGAGTTTGTATTTCATGCTGTTCACCTCCGAGTGTGACGCGGTGCCGCTCGGCTTTCGCAGTCAAATAGCCGGCGACTGTTTCTATAAACAGCTCCTCCTCCTTCTAGTCAAAGTTGTCCATCCTTGTTTCCTATTCACTGTCAATCGGTGGCACAGCGTTCTGGTTTGACAAATAAAGCTGAATTTCAATGAGCCAGCTGACATCTCATGGCTGCTGATGTGGGTACGGGATGTGCAAAGCGCGGAGAGGCCTTATGTAACCACTTTTATTTTCCATTACTAACTTCATTGCTGTCTGACCTAGATTGCATCAGCCAAGGGAGGCAGAGGCAGAACAAGGGGATGTTAGTGATGGTGTGTGTGTGTACGTGCATGCACTCGCCGGCCTCGGTGCAACTGAGAGGGAGGAGACTATAAGGAAGGTGGGAAGACATTTCAATAGAGGGGCAGCCGAGCTGCGTCGCAATCGATTTCTTCTGATCAATGCGGTTCCATTAACGAAATCCTATAAGCTGGCAGTTTACCACTGTGACTAAAGCCTCGCTGACAGCTAACATCCTCGACATCACCGCCCAAGGACAGGGAGTTGGAAAGCTACTGAAAAACTTCTTAGAATCCTCCCTCCCTCTGATTTGTCCTCATCTCTCTCATCCATTTTTTTTTGTGGAGATGCTCAAGGACGGATGAAAAGTTAGAGGATGGAGATGAGGATGAAGGAGGGATGAAGATGAGGGAATACATTTGTCCCAATTATGGGACCAACACTTTCAGTGGCTTGACATGTACTCGTCACACCAGCACTGCGGGCACCTCCTTCACATCCATATCTCAGAGAGTAAGTGACAGAGACTGAACTGCTGACACAGCGGGACGTGTCATCTGAAAACGAAGCCTCCCGGAGCAGTTGGCTCGAGCGGTTGGTTGACAGTTGGCGGAAAGGAGAAGCAGGTGGATAACAACGCTTCTGACGGGCTTTGAAATGGGTCAGTAATGGGTGGTTTGTCTAATCCGTCGTCCATTTGTAACAGAGGTTTTATCAAAGAGTCACGCGAAAGCCCCGCGCTCGACCGGGACACGCCGACAAACTCGGAACCGTGCACTAAGCTAAGATCCAAAGGTTTGCACGTGGCAGTCATTTTGTTCATTTATTAAAGTGGAATTAACAGGGGCAGTTCCATTAACCTATATAATAAACCCCTCCCATTTTTTTTTTACAACAGCTGTCTATAAAAATCAGCACTTAAAAAATATTCACCGGCGTTGGACCGGTTTAAATGTGTGTCTAATAACTGAGCTGTAATACTCAACACTGTTTGCAAATACACATGTACAAATTATTGGGGCAAACCCTCTGAAATACAATTAAAAACATGTATTTTATTTGTAATTCACAATTTACAAATTGTATTTGTAAATTATAGCCACTGTTGTTCTAATTCTATTTTCCAGTTTTCTTTTTTATTATTAGGTTTCTTTACATAAGAATTAGTCTGAATGAGTCATTTTAATTGACCAGGGAATGTATGGTGGCTAAATCTAAATCGTCAGGGGTTACACTAAGTACATTGTGCACACTCACCGTCAGCATCCACCTCATTGATCATGTCCTGCAGTTCAGCCTCTGTGGGGTTCTGGCCCAACGACCTCATGACGGTGCCAAGCTCTTTGGTGGTGATGGTGCCATCGCCATCCTTGTCAAATAAGGAGAAAGCCTCCTTGAACTCTGCCCAAAAGAAAGGCAAAGATTTTAGTCGTCATGGATTGATGGGTAACGTTAGGTCGCACCACAGTTACGCAAGAATAATCCATTCCTATGTGAAAGTGAAGATGGTGGGAATGGAAGTGTGAATGTGCTGAGCTCATGGCAAGCTTATCTGATTTCCTCGCACAAAAAAGAGAACTGAAATTTGAATTTTTTTTTGGCACACATAAATGTACCTCTGACATACAACATACAACTTCTAATCCCTTCAAGAGCATGCTATAGTGAGCAAAAGAGTCAAAAGAGTTTTGAACCGACATCCTTTCATAAAGAGTTGTTTTTTTTTGTTAGATTAAGAGTTGGAAACTACTGGCAAGCAAATGCCTGAAAGACTGTTGATTCACTCCATCTGAATATAGCTTTTTTCCTGACTCATGGGGAGAGGCTTCAAATAATCTCTCCTCGAACTTGCTCTGCATTCTGAAAAGCTAATTATCTACCAAGGTAATGTGGGCGTCCGAACTTTCAGATAGCTATTTTTGCCGTTCTCTTTAAGTGTAATGCAAACTTATCAGGCAGGAAATAAAAACTATGCGAGAAAGATTTCAAGCGGGGCTGGCTGTAGAGTAAAAGAAATGAGTGGATAAATCTTTACCTGCAATCTGCTCCTCTGTTAGTTGGTCAGCCTGGTGTTAGGAGAAAAGAGGGAGAGAGAAAAAAAAAACATTTAATTAAAGAGGAACTGTTATTACTTCATTCCTTGTTGCCCCCACCCACCCACCCACCATGGTCCTGCATAACAACGACCATAGTATTCACTAGTCTGTCGTTGCCAAGATGAGCCAATAACAATGCTTCACTGTAACACAACAGAGCGTTTATTTATTTATTTTTTTTATTTTTTTTATTCCTCCTTCCATTGTATATTTAGCTTAAGGTTTGGAGTCAAGAACGTCTGGCTGTACTTTGTCTTTTTGTTGATTACATCTGCAGTGGAATTTGACTTTGAATAGCGTGTCCACAGGATAACAGGACAGTGTAATGAAATAGACAAAGTGCTGTCCTTAACTGGAGGAAAATGTTAAGACGGGGTCGTCTGAGGACATATCAGCAAGGGATTGTTTCTCATCATCCTAGCAACACAGAAACGAACTGCCGGGTTACCACAGTTGGGTTTCTCTCGGCTAACTAGGGTTCTATCGTGTCTGACGGTGACTCATGCGTGCTTAAATTGCATGGAAACAAGCACACAACGGTTCTTCTTTAAAGGGTTTTTTTTTTTTTTTTAAAGCACAGATCTTAAACACCCACAGTGGCAATGTGTGAATGCATAATATCCACACATATGTAACAACGCACTTGCGATGGGTCTATTTAAAGGATTTCTGAAAAACCTGTAGTTTAATTTCCTGGAAGTCCAACCACTCCTTGTTGAAAACCAAAACATTGATTTTATCTTGTAAATGAGCATGCTTTCAGCAGTCAACTGATTTTCAGAGTAAAATCTGTGAAACACACACACACACACTACTCTTAATGGTGTTTTTCCTGAACACCAATACTTTCCATTCCCATGTTTCCTGTGAATTAGTCAGAGCAGCCAGTTTTGCCTCTGAGCAAATTCCTGTAGCCCATCCACTTGTTTATGTGTTTGTAAGCAACCTTGTTGTGGATACAGGCCGACTACACCAGCAGTAAATCGCACTCTAAAACCCTTTATTACAGCAGGCATTTCACTTTTAATTTTTTATTTTTTTGCAAAACTATGGAAAATTTTGTTTTTTGCAAAACTGGAAATGTCACCCTAAAAAGAGCCTTTGTTGATGTTTGTCTGTAAACCCTGTGCGTTTCCTGCAGGGACAAATGATCGCAGCTCTGGCCGGTGGCTTCTCCGCGTGGAGGTGAATGTATTTTTGACTGGCAGAAAATTGATTTTGTTGCGTAATGACTCATTTGGTTAGAAATGGATGTGAGCAGATCCCGGCCTGACAAGCACAAAGTGACCTGCTGTTATAAAACAGGCCTGAGCCCGTGGCCTGAACAAGCCCTGCGAGAGAACGGATCAAGCCAACACAAAAATGATCACGGACGCTGTGTGTTCAAATGATTAGCAGTGTCTTATATTTTAGCCTCATGCTATCTCCATTCAGGCTGGCTGACTTTCATCCCTGAATCACTATACGAGCGATGCTGTGCCGCTCCCATTGTGCCCCTGCTGTCTCTCTTTGTGGACTGGTGACTCAGGACTATAGATCCTCCCCTGGCTCAGGACCAAGATGATGGGGTCTGTGCAGATGCTCTGCCTCTCACTGACCCAAAAAACATGTTGTTTTTTTCCCCCTTGAATCTTGTATTTCAGCCAACCCCCTCCTTCTTGCAGACCTTTCCATCTGTGTTTTTTACTCAAAGAGAACTCCTTATGAATCTTAATCCAATCCACTGTGTCTTATCGACTTCATTTCTTCCTCACTATTAAATACTGTCAAATTTCTTCTCAGAAACTTTTATGAACACACAGAACTTTGTCTCCCTGCAATTACCGAAATGAAACGCCCAGAACCCAGCCATCGCTCTTGACAGATGGGTGTGACACTCACACTCCCGTACACACTTCCATTCTTCAGGACAGAGGCACTGACACACAGTGTGTGTCTACCATGGAGACACACACAAACACTCTT